TAAAACTATTTTCAATTATATAATTGTATATTCGTTTTTTAAGTTAAATGCGTTAAATCATATATCACTACATGAATCAGCGTTATTTGTAAGAAAGACACTATTCCTTAAAAAATCATCCATGTTTAGTTGTTAAATTTATTTAGTTTAGTAGTTAATTAAATTTATTAGTAGTTAAATTTATTTAGTTGTTAAATTTATCAAGTAACTTTGACTTTCTTTTACATTTACTAAATCTATTCATATCTGTCAGTAACGAAATCTTAACTTGTATCCTTTTTTTCCCGATAATTCTCCTAAATTTAAGTAAAACTTTCAACAACAGCCCTTCATTATCTTTTACTCCTCCCAATATAAATGTAATGTAGCAATTATTGTTTCCTTGTTTGTACAACTCCTGTTTCGTTACATTGATATTTCGCTTGAATTCGTCGAATGCTGGTGTAGGCAACAATTCTTTTATTGAGGAACGACGAGGATATATAACCAGATTGGAACTCCTCAGTTATTGCGTCAGGCAACTGGAAGAAGAAAAAGTAGCGAAATAATGGAAAGGAAAGAAAAAAAAAAAAAAGGAAAAAAAAAGGAAAGGGAAAAATGAATCGAACTGGCTTTTTCGCGATGTAAGCGTAATCTGAAACGATCGCGAGACGTATTCAGGGTCGGCTTTGACGCAAGTGAGACACACGCAAACGCGCACGCACGTGCACCTTCCTTTTGTCTCTTTCCCGTATATATGTTTTACTTTGACGGATGTGTACATGTTCGTAGCCTAGCGTGCATGTATATCGGAAACCACGGGTCGTAACTTTTGCAATTTCACGCGGAATACGTGAATCTGCATTTTATCTGCAGGCAAATTAGGGTGTGAGCCTTATATATTCGCATTCTATACGATTAACTTGATCGATTTAATTGATAAATGAATACTTGAATAGGTCACGACTGTTGTAAAGTCGTGCATAGGATGCGTATAATATGCACAAAATGTTCACAGTATTTTTATTAAAAAAAAATGGACGAGACAAATTCCCGTTCCTTCAACTGTGTTCATGATATATAGGGATCTGTGTATTAATGTTGGCAGCCTGATCGTTTAATTGCGATGAAAATTAAATATAATGAAACAAGTTGTTTAACTGCCATTTGGAAAATAATTTGTTTCAGAGGACGGGATTCTTTCGACAACCAATACCTTATAGTAACATGTCGGACATACGGAAATATGCTGTTACTAGATGGGATCCTACTTACAAGAACTGCCTTAGCATAGTTCTGCCAAACAGTTCTCTTCTTCTCCAAGCGAATAATGCTTACACGAGGGACCAATGGTATCATTCGATACTATGGAAGGTAAATTCTTACAACCTCCCATACCTTGGTATCTTTTGACACCAATATTTCTAAATATACTATTTTAAAATACTTCTTTGAATTTAACTTTTTCACGAGTTAAGTAATCTAAGAAATGTAAAATTTTTTTTTTTTTTTTTTTTTTT